GTTGGATTCTCCCCTCCCCCCGCCATGACTGTCGGATTCTCCAGTCCCAGGCCGGCAGATAGAACCACTGAGCAGAGGGAGACCAGGAATCCGACATTCCCAGAAGTGCTGAATCCTAAAGAATCTTTACCCAGCAGTTTTCAATACAGTGTTTGGTGGCACAAGCTGTATTTAGATCTTCCTTCCAGGGAAGTTTTATTCAAGCGACAGAGTTGCTTTAAAGCTAAACTGAAGTCCTATTCAAAATTGCACCTATTATCCTAAGGTGTGGAAATATTATAGTGGTTTAGTGCCTCAGCTATCACATTAGTGTAAGGACACTTCTTCTAGTATTTGCATAGCCTTGCCCGCAAAGGACAGCATTTACACCTCACACCATGAATGCCTTTGTGTGGAGCACTGAAGACGTCCATTGTTGAAAAGACGAAGGACAGTGCTTGTCAAGTACCCCTGAATTCAAGTACGTGTGGTTGATTTTGTTTTTAATTCAGTGGAGGAAATGGGGCTAAACATGTAGTGGTGTTACAAATGTGTAAATGTGATTAAGAACAGGGAAGCATTCTGGACACTTGTTTCAGGTCAGTAAACCAGAAGTGTATTAAAAGGTCAGAAATAACAAGGTAACTAGCAGAAAAGTCGATGGAAGCCTACAGATTGCTTTCAATAAATGTTTACTTTTATTTGTTGATAAAAGATAAGTCACCAGCAATCAAGGTGCAAACGTAGTTCAGTGAATTGTAAATATGTCATACAGCCAACATTGCAGGGTCCCTTCCTCAAGGCGACGCAGTGTTTGAATCGGTTACAGTGCTGCATGGAGTGCGGGTGGTTCCTACTTCACTTTATACGTTAATTTGCTTTCATAAAAAAAAAAGGGGAAAAAAAAAAGAAAAGAATAGGTTAAGGCCATCACCTGCCCTAAACAAAAACCTCCATTATTGAGACAATGAGTTGGGAGTCGTGTGCAGGAAGTTCCAACACTGGCTTATTCCAGAGCAAGCAGCAGAGTTCAGGCAACGTTTCCTAACCTGCCAAATCAATTAGATCACCAAGAATCTATCTCTATCTTTGCGACTAAGCCCATTATTGGGTGCAAAGTTGGGGTGAAGAGGATCCATGGTGGGATGATGTCTAACTGTGTGCTACAGTAAATTCTTCAGCGAAGTTTGGACTTTTTATTTTCTGTGAATGACTATGGATGTTGGAGCAAGATGGGCTCGGCTGATGTCCACCCGCCGTTCTCTCTAGTGATGCTGTGAAGGTGCGCTGATACTGGTTATGGAAGTTGGATCCCCAAGAATGTTAATGGAGAGCTACCACACAGAAATTAGATTGTCACCTAATGTCCACGGATATCTATATTCTACAGGTCACATGGTGTTCTCGCAGCCAAGTTCAACTATATCCAGGGATTATAAAGCACACAAAAATACAGATCAAAGTAAAAGAATTTATACAAAAAAGTTGCCGTTCATGTTTAACAGGACAAAATATACCCGGAGATGTAAACAAGCTTATGTGGTTACTGAAGAAAAGAGGTGTAATTTTCCTGCTTAGCTTAAACCGACGGTTGCCATGGAAACCGGTACAATAAAAGACACTTTTCCATAACAAATATTCATATTCAACAATGCTGCTCTTGTCAAGCAGTTGATATTTTCATACAGGTCATAACAATGAAAAAGAAAAATCATACAAAAAGGTTTTCCATAATGTACAATGGCAAAAACTGAAAATAAATCTTCAAAACCTTTAGGTAGAAGTGTGGGCAACTTTTAAAGTGGTTTTGCAAATAAAGTTATTTAAATCTTATTAAAAGAGACCCATATTATTTGTGTACTTCTTCAGGGCTACATAACCCGTCCCCGATGCGACTGGGTTCTCCATGATTGGACACAGGTCCGGTTTAGGCAGTTGCGCACCATTACAAATGGCCCATGTGCTAACGACCTGAATGTCGATATGTTTGGCGGCTGGTGTGGGTCATAAGGATACACCCTATCTTTCCTGCTCTCTTCTTTTTACTCCTTTGTTCATGTGTACTTTCCTTTTTCCTGGAGTACTGGCACTCTTTGGCACCTGCTAGGCCTCTGTACGCGGTTACACTATTGGCCCAACGATGGGTCATGCACAGTTGAGTGCTATGTGTTAGAGAGAGTGGTGCCTTCAGTAGCAGCCTGCACAACTTTTCTTTTCTTTACTGCAATGGGCATTAGTGTAACAAGGCATTCACTGTCATATACATAGGTGACTGGTGCCCTATACGTTTGATTACGTCACTTGTAAACCACAATGTTTGTACATGTGCCTCTACTCCCCTCTTGTTGTGTCTACTCTGTATGTACATGTCAAAACTTTCAATAAAAAAACTGTATTAAGAAAAGAGACCCATATTGGTTGCCACTTCTTATACTCTGCAGGTTTGGGTAGCATTCTATCAATCGAATAAGTGAGCCTTGGATTCAAAGCCAAAGACCATGAAGTCAAAAGGGAAGCTTGGAAAGATTTCATTAATTCCTTACCAAACGTTATTTCTCCTTTCCCAGTTTTGTCAAAGAGCTGGAAGGCCACCATGAAGAGCGCATCTGGAGCGCACAGGACTGACTCGAAGGCTAAAAAAGGGGGGGGGGGGGAACAAAAAAACAAAACATTGTAAAAAAGGTCTTTAATATTACTCACTTTTACAACATGAATGCAAAATGCAATTTCTCTAAAACTTCTTAAAAGTTGCCAATCTCTAATTGTCCAGTAGACGTGTACTTTTACTCGCAGAGTACTCTCATGTATAGAAATATACAGTACATCAATCCCGACCTGCAATGACAAAAGGCCTCTACCCCCACGCTGACCTGCGTCAATGTAAAGGGTGAATTAAGAGAATTAAGATGGGGTGGGGGATCAAGAAAGACTGATGGGAGAGAAGAGCTTGGAAGAAAACCTGCGCCACCTTTTCCTGATGCATTTAGCACCTCCTGTGAGTTTTGAGCTGCTCCTTCCCCATTTGCGTATACACAAAGCTAATTGTTTGCGACTGCAACAGAATCCCTCAAGTCTTGGAGCATAGGGACAGTTAGACCGAGCGTACATGGGCACCTCAGCTCTCCCACAAACTTTCTGAACTAGGCTTCCATAGGAACTGTCAAAACGTCTGTCGTGTACAGCCAAAGAAGGTGCCATCTTAGCGTCTATTTGGAATGCGGTTGCCATGGTGCTGCATGTGTGGTCAGCTATGATACGAGCCATCTGAGGGCTTGCAAGTTCAGATGAGAGCTGAAATGAGCACACTGACAACCTTGACGGTTGGCATGCCTTAAAAGTAACTGTTTTGGAAGTAAAATTAGTCTTTAAAGATAAGCCTTCCAAAATTCACTGGACTTTCCATTGATCAGGCAGGGCAAATACAGTCATGGCCAAAAATATTGGCACCCCTGCATTTGTCAGATAATGCACCACTACGCACAGAAAATTGTTGCAATTACAAATGTTTAGGCGTTCATGTTCATTTCTTTTGTTTGTATATTTTGGCCATGACTGTATATATTTTTTTTTTATCTTCCCATAATTCCATTATAAGAGACCCCTAAAAATGGGAAAGCAAAAACCAAATTGGTCCTGCATGAGCAAACAAAAGGTTGAATTTAAATTTTAACCACTAAAAGAACCATATGTAACTTCTGCCTCATCACCTTCCACTCCAGCAAATACAGAGGGTCCTCTAAATAAGAATATAGCGGAAATGGCATTATATTATACATAGTACACGTCATACTATACAAATACATTCATCAGTTGAGATTTTCATGCAATTGACATCACTTCAAGAAACAGGTATTCACAGCGTGTTCTAGAAGACTTTTGCCAGAGTAAATATTTACATTAGCAGTAAAATAGGTTTCTTTAAGTATTTAAGTAACAATACAATGAACCATAACCATGCTGGTTGTGTCAACATTAGGCTTTGAGATGCTTCACTAAACCTCATAACATTTAGAATTTATGCTATGCTTTGCCAGAGCAAACACGGTTTGGCTACTTAAACACGGTTGCCATAATATTTCGATTGAAGTCGCTAGGAATGAAGTGACTGATACTTAATAAAAACTATAAAATTGCAGACGAGAAACCAAAGTCTTGAGGAGAAGAGATCATGTTCTACTAATAACACAAATTAAGAGGCCAGATTCATGGTAGAATAATCTCTTAAATGTAAACCCAACACAAACCCATTCAATTCATACTGGACATTTAATGAATTCCATAACTATAAAAGTTACCTTCAGCCAATACTGCATGTCAAAACAAACATTATATTTAGATATAAAAAAGGTAAATTAAGTTATATGCAAGTCTCTACTTTTCCATCGGAAGTTGTGCTTTGTTGACCAAACTGCCTTCCAGAACCTCTCTATTGTTTTTTTATTGTGATGATCGGCCTTACACACCAAAGGTGAGATGGTTAGGCCGAGCTTGACGTTTAAAAGTAAAAAAAAAAAAAAAAGTTGAAATGTGCTTATAAAATGTAGCGGCCTGTCAGGTGATTGCACGTGCTTGGCGCTCTCCCCCACAGTCCCCTTTTAGGAAGTCAAGCATAGGGTCTCACAAGTCATGTTTTTTGAGCAAATGTCGGCTGTCCAGTCAGACACCCTTCCCATATTTGAGAAGATTTGGGAACCATAGATCGTTTCCTACATGCCTTCCACTTTTCTTTTAGACTCGCTCGTACTCCGAGTTCCCATATACCTACTGCCCATTGAGTATATACCACATGATGTCCCCGAAATGGCCCAGTCCCTCTTCCTCACCCTTACCATTCCTGCTCACTTTTCTTCCTTGTTCTCCTCCCCTTTCCCTCTTCATTACTTTACCACGAGTCTCCTTGACAGGGCTTGGATGCTGAAAGGGTCCTCATTGCGGTTTAGCCAACTTTTTTCTTTTTCTTTCTATGTTTCACATCTTGATTGATATGTTCCCTGATAGGGCTTTAATGGTTGCAAAACTTAATTTGAATTTTGTAAATTTGTATTCGTATATGCAACATTGATCGATCTGTACTCTCACTTTGTGCTACTATGTTGTACTTACATTACTTGTTTGAAAACTTTGAAAAATCAATAAACATTGAATGGAGGAAATTTAGCTGCCTGTATCTCTAGGGCTACCAATCATTCTGACAAGCACTGTTCAGTAAGGGTAAACTCCGATTACATTTTTTCATCATTTGGTCAGTCTGAATGAAAGATGCCTGCACATAACAGCCGCAACATGAAAAACCCAGCAGTTACAGCCAAATGCCATGCTATTCCATCAGGCAAGGCTCCAAAACGTTGTATCAGAGCGTGTAGGAGGCCGAAAGGAGTGGGCAAGCTTTGGCACTTTGAGGAATGAAATGGCATTCAGCTCTATCTAAAAGGTGTCCCAAACCTCTAGCTGTCTGTGCCTAACACCACCAGAAGATTTATTTGCCAGTGACCCACTGCTTTTACACCTTTGGTGAACCCTAATTTAGCCTGCAATGTTTTCTCCGCTCATATCCTTTTTGTTTAATTTGTTAGGTCAAATTAAAAAGAAATACTTTTGTAAATACTTTGGGCCTGCTTCCGCAGGGTGAAAAATGAACAAATCGCAGAATAAAATTTAACTTTTTAAATTAGCAACAGTAACACTAGTTGTTTAAAACTATTCCTGGTCACGCTGGAAAAGAACATGGATGTTTTTTTTATTATTATTTTGCCTTTAGAACAGAACAAGTTTAGGAAGACAGTAAAGCCAAAAGAAAGAAAGGAGGTATGACTATGGTATATCAACAAAATAAATAGGCCCATAAATTAATGGTAAAACATTTCTCTGGCTCATATCCAGGTATAGGAGGGTTCTAGTAACTACAACGCAATCTTTAACCTCCCTGATTGGCTAGGAGTAGGCACAGACAACTGTCAGTAAAAGGAAAGGGTCCTAAATAACACCAGAAATGTGTTTACAGTATGCAAGTGTAGTTGCAGTCTCACATAATGTATGGTTTTCCCAATAACAATTGATGTAAACTGTTACAACCGGGTTTCACAAATGTAATTTTAATCCTACCTTCATTCCTCAGAAGTGAAGGATGGAACCTGATGTACACCAGCTAAGCCATGCATGCCGGCATAGGTCAATCAAAGGTTAGATTGCAGAGTGAAGACATGTAATGTGCCTGACAGCTGATGTCTGAAATGTATGCAAATCTCCATCAATCCCTTCAGAGCACCGAAATCTTAGTGAAATAGTGTATGGAAGACAACACATTCATGGTTCTCACCACGCATTTCCACCTACACTTCAATGCACCTGCGTGGTTTATGTTCATTTCAAGTAAGTGCAACTTAAATCAAGAATAGGCAGATATAAAAGGAAAAGTCCCACTGAATTCAGTTTTACATTCATAAAACTAAAATGTATTTTTAAACAATACTTCAGTCTGTCTGTACTAGCCTCCTATATTATCTTGCAGATCTGTATTCAAGGACAGTGCTCAGAGTAGGGATGCACCAATACCAGTGTCAGTACCGATACCGAGTATTTAGGTGAGAACTCGGCCAAATGCTCTTGATGCCTATCCCGAACTTCCGGTATGAGGAAGCCGGGTGGCGCGTTATTACACGCTGCCTGGCCGGGAAGCTGGCTTCATGCTTCCATGTCACTTGGTAACGAGGGAGCATGGAGGCGGCTTCCCAGCTAATCGGGAAGCCAAGTGGTAAGTCATTACACGCCGCCCGGCTTCCTTAAATGGGACTTTTGGTATTGGCGAGTACCGAAAAACAAATATAGGTACTCGTAACTGAAAAAACTTGATCAGTGCATCACTAGTTTAGAGCCAATCAGGTTTTACTGCATTGCACAGTTATGCGAATGTAACAAATGGAGCCTGCTGGTCGGACGAGAGAGCACAAGTAAACTCTTCAATTTCCGCTGGCCGCTGTCAAAATATAGTGAAGACAGCAGGAGATTTCTTGATCAACACTCGTAAACGCTGACGGAGGAATCTGTTATATAGTTTCTCCATTCAGCCAGCAGGTTGAACGAAGAAAATATTACACTGTATGGCCTTTAACCACATCCGGGCCGCAATACGCCTATAGACGGCGGCCCATTGAAGTGGAGCCAGGAGATGAAGTTGGGGAAGCAGGTCTGCAAGACCCCTGATGTCTCCATAAAGAGGACCTGTCACACCCTATCTGCTATTACATAGGGTGCTTGTTCGCTTCCTATGTAATAGCAATAGGGTTAGTGGAAAAAAAATTAAATAAAGTGTTAAAAAGTTTTAAAAAGTAACATAAAAGAAAAATTATAAAATACAAAAAAATTTGTTAAGACCCCCGTCCCCCACATACACGTCGGTGCGCCTATGTGCACTGTCAATGACTGTTAGCACTAAACTGATGAGCGGTAAAAGTGTTTAAAATGTTCCCTATGGGAAATTTGGGGTATTTACATTTTTTGCGGCTTCACGGGCGAACGCAATTTTAAGGCTTAACCTGTTTGATAACTATTTACCCCACGTGATCCCGTCTTTCATATTTTACCAAAAAATTGGGTATTATGTTTATGTGCATTACATTTTAAGTTTATTTTTTCCTAAAAATAC